TCAAAGGGCCTGAGCAAGCGGCAGGTGTCACGCATGAGCTGCTCCAATGGCTAGGACATCTAAAGTTACACAGGGGAGTACCTTTATCCGCTTGTAACATCAGGAAATCGGTGATGCGATCCTTTCGCTGTCGTAAAGGCGCTATGTGGTCTAACATGTGTAGGTTGAATTCCACCTTGTTGCAACGTCGCAGATCAGGCGATGCTGTGGAATTCCGTTCTGCCGCTGACTGCAACTCGCGCGGAGGGTTGTGCTTTGCGTGTAGGAATTCGCAAGCCTGAAATGCATGCAAATGTTTACGTGACATTTTAAGGATGTATTGCAGTGGGATGGTGGAATTTTATAGGAAACCGCTTGACAAACCAGATTGAACACGTGAGCCATGCATGGCGCATGGCAAACCTTCCTTGACGCAGAGCAGACAAACCATGTTCTTTCCGTTGTCGGTCAGACATGGTTCCGATTTTCAGTTTCGCAGAGAGTCAGACCATGCTTTCGATGTCACTGTTTCATTACAGCTCATATGTTCCTCCCCTTGTGACTACGATCGCACAAGTGCCATACCAGGTCCAAGCAACGACAGCGTGACACACGTTTTTGCGCCCTATGAGCACATGTGATATCCTTGCTCAGGCTAGGGTAAATGGGAGCTTGGCACGGAGAGGGTGCTGGCTAAGGAGACAATCACGTGTCGGTAAGAAGAGTAGGTTGGTACTGAGGCGCGACAATCTTTCCGGAACCAAGGACTGTGCAAACGTGAGAGGCTAAAGCGAGCGCTGACCCTGTCCAAGTTTGCTGGTGCGGCACGCTGTTGACGGCACACACGTTCCACCCAGTGTTGAGCCAGTAAATGAACATGTACTGTCACCTGGACCGTAGTTAATCCAGCTTCCACAACTCGCGCACTGCCGGGCAACTTTGGCAGAGACCTACAATGCTCAAAGACTGGCCCACCCATCTCTTCACATGTCGTATTGCAGGGCTGGCACGGCCCTTTTTTGGCGAAGATAATTGACGGCTTAGGCACTCTCCTCCAGCGCGCGGCACAAAGCCATCATTTCTCGGAGAGAAAGGTGCTGAGTTCCACCACCTTGTATAAGGGAGGCTGACGTGCAGCACCAACAACTTGGATCAGGTACGGTGTTCTGCTTTATGAGCACAAAGAGGGGGGGGGGGGGGGGGGGAGGTGGAGTGAACCATAGGTGCGAATGGCGTGCTCCGCTAACGTTCTCGCCGGAAACGGATACCAAGAATGACTGCTGACGGAATCCGTGTGAAGTGGAGAGTAGTAGGCAGTGAGATGGAGCATCTGAAAACGATATGACGCGAGATAGAATTGCCATACGAGCGTACAACTCCCCGCAGCAGAGGTGGTGGAGACCTTGAACTGGCTAAACGAGCTTGCGCTTTGAACGTTGGATATCACGGAAGAACATATAAACAGAGAGCGTGAGTCGATAGAGCGTGAGGGCTGGGGCAGGCAGTCAGGAACCGCTCGTATCTTTATCACTGGTGTTCTCCAGGCCACGCGATTTGGCGACGCTGCATCTGCTGACGACAACGCTTGTAGTCCCATCATGGGCCCCCAGGCCCACGCTTGGACTTTTCATGAGCCACAAGTCGACATAACGGCTACGCTTAACTTCCCTCGCGGCGGGCTCTTGACGAAAAAATTGCCCACCACCGCTCCGAGTAGGCAACTTTGCCATCCGATAACTTCCTCCACTGGGGACTGACTGCTGCTTCCTCCGCTGCACACCTGCGAATACCACTACTGGCCGTGCTGCGTGGTAGGCTGAAGTGCGAGCTGGTGATCGTTCTCCGTGGCACGAGGTTTGAACTCTCCACTTAGCACTGCTGCGAGCCCTGGCTGCCATTCAATCCTGGGCTATCCCCACCGACTCAGTGTTTGCGCGCTGCCAAGACTGCCACCACTCTTCACTCCTGATTATGCGCGAAGGCAATAGCCGATGGATGACAGTACGAGGCTGCCAAGTTGTGAAATCAAGCCTCATCGTCATTCAAATAGCGGCTCTCCACCTTCACTTACGATGCCTCCACTCTGGGCCCTGAGTGTAGGTAATGCTAGAGACAGTACCTGTCTCTAGACTAGCTACAGAAGCCTCTCTCCTCGCCACTACCTCTCTACTCCTGGCTGCTGATGAGGTCGGATGTCTCCCCCACACCCTTCCTGACCGCACCGCTGTTAGCTCTTCCTCTCGTGTAATCAGTGGGGCTGAGCCCACTGCATGCGATCTACTTCGCTTGTTAGAGGGAGAACACCAATAGGATCAGGGGCAGGTAGAGGTACACGTTGATTTCAGTGGGCTTGCTCGCCGGGCCATGCCAACTAAACGAACGGTTGTGTCTGACGTACCCACCGATCCGTTGGCTGTAGGGGGTCAGAGGTGAACCCTGGGAAAGTAGAGAGACGGGTATACCGAACGCAAGACCAAGTCAATTAACGGAGGGTGTGTCGGTGGAGACAAGACCGCTGCGATAGACACCGCGAGCTACTGGCCTATGCTGACTACTTAAGACTGCTGCCTTCGGACCCATTCCCTCTAGCTGCCACGTCTGCTCGCAATCCTAGAAACATCTGCCATCCTCTGCCACAGCCTCTGACATGTTGTGTCTGACATTACTCGTGTAATTTAATGATTCTGTGTACCCGCAGATAACACATTCTGTGTCCCTGAGTAACAATTCTGTGTCCCTCAGTAATACTTCTGTGTCCCTCAGTAACAAATTCTGTGATCCCCTCAGTAACAATTGCTTGTGTCTGTCCTCAGTAACAATTCTGTGTCCTCAGTTACAATCTGTTGCCCTTAAGTAACAATGCTGTTTTTTGGATATGTGTCTGTACCTCTAGTAACAATTCAGTGTCACTCAGGCGAACAATATCTGTGTCACCTCAGTAACAATTCTGTGTCAGTCCCTGAGGTAACAATTCTGTGTCCTGTCCCTGTGTAACAATTCTGTTGTCCATGAGTAAAAAACACATTTTTTTTTTGTGTCCCTGAGTAACATCGGTGTCGTGTCCCGGAGTAAACATTCTGTGTCCTGAGTAACTATTCTGTTGTCCCTGAGTTGTAACAATTCTGTGTCCCTCAGTAACACTTCTGTGTCCTCAGTTAACAATTCTGTGATCCCCATCAGAGTAACAATTCAGATGTCTGTCCGCTTGAGTACAAAGTCTGTGTCCCTGAGTAACAATTGTGTCCTGAGTAACAATTCTGTCGTCCTCAGTAAAACAATTCTTGTGTCCGTCAGTATACAATTCATGTCTGTCCCTCGAGTAACAATTTCCTGTGTCCTGAGTTACAATTGCTGTGTACCGGAGTAACAATTCTTGTGTCCTCTAGTAAAAATTCTGTGTCTGTCCCAGTAACCCTGATAACAATTCTGTGTGTCTGTCCCTGAGTCCCTCTAACAATTTCTGTGTGTCTCAGTAACAATTCGTGTCCTCAGGAACAAATTTCTGTGTCCTGAGTAACAACTTACGTGTGCAGTAACAATTCTGTGTTCACGTCAGTAACATTCTGTGTCCCTCATTAATCTGTGTCTGCCTGAGTTACAATTCTGTGTTCTGTCCCTCAGTAACAATTCTGTGTGTCCCTCAGTAACAATTTATGTTCACTTCAGTATCAATTCAGTGTCCCTCTGGTAACAATTCTGTGTCTGTCCCTGAGTAACAATTCTGTGTCTGTCCCGTTGTAACCTGTGTCAGTCAGTTAAAATTCTATGTCCTGTCTGCTGTCACCTCAGTAACAATTCTGTGTCGTCCTGAGAGTACATTCTGTGTCTGTCTGAGTAACAATTCCGTGTCTGATCCTACCAGTCAAATTCTGTGTCTTCTGCCAGGTAACATTCTGTGTCCTCAGTAACAAATTCTGTGTTCAGTAACAATTCTGTGTACTCATTAAAGTAATTCTATGTCTGTCCTGAGTAACAGTATCTGTTTCCCTCAGTAAACAATTCTGTGTCTCGCAGTAACATAATCTGGCTAAGCTGTGTATGTCACACAGGTTACATTTTCTGTTGTTGTCCCTGACAGTAACAAGTTAGTGTGTCCGGAGATAACAGATTTGGTCTGTCCCTGAGGTAACTATTCCTGTGTCCCTCAAGTACATAGATTCTGTGTCATGTCCCTGTATGTAAACAATTCTGTGTCCCTCAGTAGTACAATTCTGTGTCCCTCAGTAACAATTTCTGTTGCTGTCCCTGAAGAGAAAACAATTCTGTGTCCCTAAGTAACGTTTCTGTGGCCCTAAGTAACGGTTCTGTGTCCCTAAGTAACGATTCTTGGCCCTAAGTAACGTTTCTGTGGGCCCTATATGTAACGTTTCTGTGGCGCCTAAGTAACGTTTCTGTGGCCCCTAAGTAACTGTTTCTGTGTCCCGAGAAGTAACGTTTCTCTCTGGCCCTAAGTAACGTTTCTCTGGCCCTAAGTAACGTTTCTCTGTCCCTAACTCTGTCCCTAATACAGCCAGGTCTGCCTCTCTTGAATGACTGGAGGCAAATGGAGAATTCTAAAATGGTCGCCATTTATAGCTCGACCATTACACAGTGCTGGCTGGCTGGCTGCTGAATTGGCTAATGCGATCAATGTCATGAATGAATGCATTTATGGGTCAGCGCGCCTTGTCTGCGCGCCTTCCCAGACATCCCCGCTCCGTCGCCGCACATGTCGCCGCCATTTTTAGGAAAAATTTCGATTCGCGCATCCGAAGTCTGCTAATTTTCGGATTCGTCGCGAATCAAAATTTTCCTAATATTCGAAACGAATTCCACTTCGCCGAGTTCGATTCGCTCATCTCTAGTTATGATTCACAGGGGTTGATTTACCAAAGGAGTTTAGAATTTAAAAGCTGTGTTCACTTTGGATACCTAATCATGTGCAGAGGAATTTCAAAAAAAGGGTTTTGTATACATGAATGGATGATGCAAATGAATACAACTTTTCTTACCTAGATAAAAATGTATCTTCCTTTAGTAACTCAACATGATAGTATTTTAGTAAAATGTTTATACATACCAATAGCTACCAAGCACTTCTCAATATCCCCCTTTAGCTCCAGATCCAAAGCCTTATTGAGATCATGTTTGCTGTAAGTGGAATACTTTTCAAACACTGCATAAGGAAATGAAAAAAAGAAACATTTTGTTACTTGTCCACGACATGCAGGTACATTTTCTTGGTACTTTTAGGCTCATTTAACAACAATGTTGAAAAAAATGTAATATTCTCTCTTCTCTTTGCTGGGAGATAGGTTCAGCCATCCACCCCTCAGTGTCCACCCCTACTCCCCCCCCCCAGCCCCTTCCAGTACCCCTCAGCCAAACTCAGCCCTTGAGCTCAAGTCTGCCATCATAAAGTCTTTTATATTTTTACCCTCACTGGGACACAGGGATAGTCTTTGCCCTAACAAAGACCAATGACATTGTTGGATAAAATAACATTTTAACAATTAGATCCTCGCTGTCTCAATAATGGATTACCTTTTTTTAAGTGTGGAAAGCTTCGACCGCAGAAGATGGCAATGAATACAGGAACATCTGCTTTCTTGTGCTTTTCTCCAGCTTCAAACAAAGCCTGATAAAAAATGTAAATGTCAGCTAGCCCAATCAAGAGACTGCATAAAACACAAACCTGTAAAAAATGCTGTAACTCACAATAAATAGGAAAAACTCTATTATAAATTGTACCTTTGCATCTTGGTCAGCAAGACTTTCATCAACATAACATTCTTCATTACGGGTTCCCTGCAATCAGGTTTTTAAAATATTATATATTTTTTAGAAATATGTTTTTTAATCAATTTCAAATATATATTGTAATTTCACAAAGAGGTTGATCTGTTACTTAGTAAACTGTACCTGTGTTCCCCCAATCATGTGCAGATTAAATAATTAAACAATAATTTGTTTTTCACAATATTGGATAAAAAGTGACATTTTCCACCATTTATGCACATTCTCAGCACCTTTAGTAAATCAGCTTTGATATCTCAAAAATAACTGTACCTTTAAAAGTGCAAGTAAGGCCTTCTGAAAATCTCCAGATGTGTCATCTATGATATCCTTTTCAATATCAGTTTTGAATTCTGGGGCAGATAACATTAATATTATGAATTTCTTATAGTGATAATAGTCACCATGTAACTTAAGCATATGTTCTTATCAAATATCAATCAATAGAGAGTTTTGCAAAAACAACTTTATTAATGTTGACTGCCTTAGCAAATATATGCTCAGTAATTATTGTTTTGTATTTTGAATAAGATACAGTCTGATGCTTCCCTTTTTGGATAGGGATGGGTCTCTGGTTCAAACCAAACCTACAGTTGACTTCACTTTTGGTTATGCACTTGTGGTTATTGAATGGCCAAACTAATGAGGTGTTTGCCCAAATGCCAATTAAAATTTGGGTTTGGACATATTTATTAAGGAAGTATACATCAAAAAATAAAATCATTTAGCAACTAACAATTAAACCATCACAAAAAGCTTATTTTTGACTTTATATGCACCTCCTCTGTTTACTGCATGTAGGACGATTTTTTTGCTCACTGTTTTTTACATCATGTGTAAAAAAAAATCACTTCCCCAGAGTAGTGCAATGTTACAATGGTGACATTATATTGCTCTGGTCACAGTGTGTTAAAAAAAATTGTAACAAAAAAAAATTTAAATTGAAAACAAAATTATTATTATTATTATTTTTTATACTCTCACCAGTCAGTGTCCCTGATCACCGTGACACCAGTTATATGATGACACACACTGTACTGCACTGTTGACAGTATTTAAAAGAAAAAACTGTGAAAATGTTTTTTAATTTCATTTCCAAAAAATATGACAAAAAATTACAACTTCCAAAAACTTGCCATGCCTCTTACTAAATACATTGGACTGTCTACTTTCTAAAAATGGCTCATTTGGGGATATCTGTACAATCTTGACATTTTTGGTCCTCAAGAAATGAAATAGTACATCAGGATTGATCAATCTTCAGATATATACCATAGTTTGTGGATTAAACATACAGATAAATAACAGACACGTATTTGGGTTATTTTCACCAAAGAAATGTAGCAAAATACATTTTGGCCTGAATTTGATAAGAACAATTATTTATTTGCAAAATTGTATAATAGAAACTAAGAATTTTTTTTTCTAAATTTTCGTTCTTTTTTTATTTATTTTGCAAAAAAATTAAAAGCCCAGTGGTGATTAAATAACCACCAAATTAAATCTCTATTTGTGTGAAAGAAATATAAACATTTAGTTTGGGTACAGTGTTGCATGACCGCGCACTGAAGGCTGAAAATTGACCTGGGCAGTAAGGGGGTAAAAGTGCCTAGTGTTGTAGTGGTTAAGGCAGTCATCAGGCTAACTCTCTGAATTTCTACCATATCATCATAGGGGAAGAGAGTACTGGTAAAAAAAAAAAAATAAATTTGCCCAGTAGGGTTAGTGTGGCCAATGCCAGTCTTTGCTACTCCACTGAGTAGAAAATCTATCACAATCCAAACTAAGATCACTGCCAAGATACATCTTGTATAACCTCTACCTACATACGGTGGTTTATAGACTTCCATGGATTATCTAACAATGCTCTCATGAAAATATGCACATTTTGCCCTTACCTACCATCACCATGGCATGCTAGCTGCCACAAGTAGTTGATATTAAGTTGTCTCACCTATGGTACAGGTATTTTAGAGCCAAAGATCTCCCTTTTGCATAAAGGTAAGCTACATTTGGTGAAGTCATTTTTTTTACCTTTTTTAATATATTTTAGTGCCCAGTCATACTGGTGTTAATTGTCATGTAATTTGATAGTTTTGAATCACATGACAAGTCGCACTGTATTGTCGGCAATTGAAAAAGTCATATTGGTGTGATTCGAACTTGATTGGAATCGCACCGATTTTGAAAGTAGTACATGCACTACTTTTTGCAAGCTCAGGTGAAACTTGCATAGACATCTATGCACAGATGTCTTACTAATCGTACCTGAAGTCGCGCTGACATTCTACTTTGAAATCGCATGACTTCAGGTGGCGTCGTACGATTTTAAAGTCAGATTGGTGTGACCAAGGTCTTAAGATTTTGGGACTGCTATTTGTATTTTTTATAAGTATTGTTGTTATTACTATAATCAATATGAAAACATTCACAAGAGATATAACATCAATGAAATATAATTGATTTCATTTGCCTATTGACCTTCATTGTATGCTTTCTTGGCTTGCTTTATTTGCTGGTTACTTCTTGTTACACAGATTTCAATCAGTGTGTCCTCATCTGTTCCAAGACCCTGTGAAAAAAACATCTTTTTCAGGAACAAACCTACATTTGCATAGTAGTTTTTCTTATATTTTATAATGTACGTGTGAACCATAACATAAATGTTTCCTCAAAGGGTGATAAATTGTTAAAGAACATCGTAGCACTTTCAAAAATCAAACTTTTTCGACTTAATTGGCTGTTTTGCAGTTTTTGCCAAGAAGTCACAAGACTTCTTCTAGAAGAGAACGGAATCCATTCATCACACTGAAAGTGCAAGGTAATATCACATGAAGTGACAGCTGGATCTGTAACTGCATATTAGTCAGAAATCGTCTCTCAGAGAACAGCTCTCAGTCTATTGCAGGGCATGGCTGTTGCTTGGGAAACACTGCACAGATGGCATGACACTATCCGTGAAATAAGAAGGCTCACAGACAGGGAAGGCATGAGCATGCCTGCCGGCAGGCTGCTCTGGACTTGCCCAAGCAGGACTAAGAAATCAACCGCTGTATTGAAATGCAAGCTACAAGTACTGCCACCTTCAGAACAAAAGTGGTTGCATCAAGGAGAAAACAAGTAATATAAAATATCAAGAATTAAAAATATTATATTTATTTGCTACAGGTACTTATATAGTGCAGCCAATTTACGCAGCGCTTTACATATATATATTGTACATCCCTAACCCTCAAGGGGTGTACAATCTAAGGCCCCTAACTCACATTCATACATATACTAGGGCCAATTTAGACAGGATCCAATTAACCTACCAGCATGTCTTTGAAGTGTGGGAGGAAACCCATGCAAGCACAAGGAGAATATGCAAACTCCAGGCAGGTGGTGCTGTGGTTGGGATTCGAACCAATGACCCTGGTACTACCAGGCAGAAGTGCTAACCATTTAGCCACTGTGCTGCCCATGTATGACCTACATCAAATGAAGTTTTTACGTTAGAGGTTCACATTCACTTTAAATATAACTTTCTTATGCATTTTTAGACACAATACCTTTGTTGCACGTTTAAGCTCATGAGCATCAAACTGAGCAGGAGTTTTTAGCAAATCCAACATGAGGGCTTCAAGTTTACCACTGAGAGCCTTCTTCAAGCTTTCTTCCAAAGTCTGCAAAAAAAAAACAACAATTAATAGAAATATGTCTATCTAGCTATAACTGTCTATCAAATAATCAGGAGTTTATTTATTAAAAAAATTCCACAGCTGTTTATTGAAACTGCATGTAAATTTGTTCTGTGCGGGGACAAAATCAAATGTTCTTAGGCTACATTGACTGCAGTTTTAATGTGTGAATGTGTAAAATACCACATTATGACCACTAGGTGGCAATCAGGAGCATACTTATTTCCTATGATATTCAGCTCCATCTAGTGGTCATAATGTGGCATTTTCCTTATTCACACATTTGATTTGAAGCAGGCTTTGGGGTTGATTTACTAAAAGTGGGGCATGCAAACTCTGGTGAAGCTGTGTATGGTAGCCAATCAGCTTCTAACTTCAGCTTGTCTATTAAAAAAAAACTAGAAGCTGAGTGGTTTCTATGAAAGGCTGCACCATATTTTGCACTCTCCAGTTATAGTAAATCAACCCCATTGCCTAAGCACACTTTGCCCCATTTGCACAGAACAAATTTAGATGTAGTTTTGATGGATGAACAGCTATTGAAATTATTTTATAAATACACCCATAGCGTCCTTGGAGCATTATTTATATATATATATATATATATATATATATATAACAAAATGTTAAACCCCTACACCTCTTCACACTCCTACATACTGTACGTATATGTGTAAAAACAAGTATTCTTGGTTCAAAGAAAAGAATGACCTCTCTGGCCAATCCCCACCACATGTTTGGTGAACCAAATACTTCTCTATAACTACATGGGTGGTTTAGCATAAAGGCATATACACCTACAAAAAGCGTGGTTACTGGGTTGCATAATATAAGTAGAAAATACAGTTAGGCACAAAAACTCAAGCAGCATATGAAAAATGCAGGAAAGATAGTGAAGAGGTTTAATATTCTGTAACTATCATTGTATTTCTATACATTACCTTTCCAGTTTGCTTTTGGTAAGCAACTTTAATTTCTTGACGTTGTTCATTGGTTCTTTTCGTTAAAATGTCAATAATAGTTCCTTCATCGACACCTAAAGACAAATAAGACCATGTAAAAAATAACACTTACTAGATTGGTAGCTACATCTTGGTAATTCCAATACTATTTAAAGAGAAGTATGGGATAAAAAAAAGTATATACTCACCTATATGAAAGCAGCACCTGTGCAATACTGCATCTGACCCCCACTGCCTCTAAGGAAAACCACTGATTGCTCAGTTCTCAGTGAGCAGAGAGCCTGTGACTGTCAGCCACAGCTCTGTGCTCTGCCCCTCCAGCGTTCACTAGAACACTGAGCAGTGGCGGGGGCAGGAGCAGCTGGCTCAGACTCTCAGCAGCTCAAGAAGCTGAGCCAGCTACTGCTCAGGCATCTGGGTGGATCCCAACATTAAAGTCAGGAATTCATCCAGAGTCTGGGTGGATTTGATTGACATTAGCTGACAGCAAACTTTAACCCACTGTTGGCTGAATTAAAGTGGTTCTAAAGGTTGAAGCTGGGGCCGAGCCATGCTCTGTGTGTCTTATGGAAAAGTGTTCCCAATATTTAACCACTTGCCCTCCAGAAAATATACCCCCCCTTCCTGACCAGGCCATTTTTTGCAATAGAGAGCCTTGTTACTTTAACTGACAATTGTGCAGTCATGCAATGTTGTACCCACATGAAATTTATGTACTTTTTTCCCACAAATAGAGATTTCTGATCACCTCTGCGGTTTTTACTTTTTGCGGTATAAACGAAAAAAGACTGACAATTTTGAAAAATAAACAATATTTTTTATTTTCTGCTATAAAACATAACCAATAAATAAAAAATCGAATTTCTTCAAAAATTTAGGCCAAAATATATTCTGCTACATATCTTTGGTAAAACAAAAAATCCCAATAATAGTATATAGATTAGTTTGCGCAAAAGTTATAGTGTCTACAAACTATGATACATATACTGGAATTTTATTTATTCATTTATTTTTTAATACTAGTAATAAAAGCAGCAATCAGCGACTTATAGTGGGACTGCGATATTGTGGCGGACATTTATACACAAACTGACACTTTGTGGGAACCAGTGACACTAATACAGTTTACTAATCACTGTACTAATGACACTGGTTGGGAAAGGGTTAACATCTAGGGGGATCACAGGGTTAAGTGTGTGCCTAGCTATGTGCTTGGTGTACACTATGGTGGTGCTTTTACAATGGGAAGTGACAGATCGTGTTCTCAGCTCTGCAGAGACACATGATTCATGACTCCCCCCCCCTTCATCACAACATAAACAAAGCCCTGTTCTTCCTCCCTGACTAACGATCTGCAGGTTCCGGGACTTATAGATCGGTTTGTGCTGTGACATTTCATATGTGTGTGTGTGTGTGTGTGTGATTTTGAGCAGGAATGCCGCCCTGTAGCAATAAAACTGCTATAGGGTGGAAGTAAGTAGTTTATCTTTGAGTCCTTTCACAGAGAGTTGAGCATAAGGCCCCCATATGCCACAAAGTGCCTACATAAGGGGACTCCTAGTCCTTGGTGTAACTAAGAACAACATTGCCCTCAACCATCTCACCACACCCAGTACAGAGGTAACATCCACTTTGAAGCCAAGTATTAATTCCAGTTAATGGGGGTGTCACAGATGAGGCAGATAATAGACCATCTATGTTGGTGCTTTATTTTGGCCATGGTTGGGTATGACTTCCTGAAATATCCAAAGACCTTTCTTACAGAGGATCTACTGGCAGCCAGGGTACTTAATAAAATGATGCACCACCAGGTTGAGGGCATGTGCCAGACATAGTTGTTGTGTGATTTTTTTATTCCTGGCAAAGGGTTACCTGCAGGTTAGTGATGTCACATTTGCAAAAATGGCATAGGTCAGCCACCACTTGGTCTAGGCTAGGGGAGCTACCAGCAGCTCTGGCCTAGTGTGGCTCCTTGTGACTTGCAACACAGCATGGCAGTGTTTAGCCTGGGATGTTGTATATGCTCTGAGGTGCTTGGGGAGGGAGGGGGGGTTGAGGAGAAGTATAATGCAAGTGAGAAGGAGGGGGTACAGGTGGCTGCCCTATCATCACTGGACAAGACATACACACCAGCAGCACTAGTTGTGTTCCATGTCCTGCATCCTTCCCAGCTATCAGAAGATTGACCAAGTGTGCTTTGAAAGATATGTCGAATCCCTGACCATTCTTACTAGACCACAGGTCCATGGTTGTGCGTATCCTGTCACTGACAGCGTGGTCCTAGACACATTAGATTTCACATGCTAGAAAAAGGCAGGGATGGCCTTCTGGGCAAAATACTAGCATCCAGATACTTGATAATGTGGTGTAGCATAAATCGTAAACTTGTGAAAGAAGGCTGATTCCATTCGCTTGAGTAGGAGCAGTTGAAAAGCTACAAAGTTTTACCAAACTGGAGTGACTGGAGTGATCTGGGAACATTTTCCTTACACTTCAGCAACTACAGAATAGCCATCTGCTTTGGGAAGGACAGTTAGCGACAGTGAGGTGGGTGTAGAATTCTGCAAAGGTTCAAGCGTTTGCCCCAAGACCTTGCTTGACCCCAAAGCCTCTAAAATCTTTTGTGAGATTTTCCTCCTTGTTACTAGAGGCTGCAGTTATTGTGGTGGATGCAGCAGGAGACATCTGCCTTGGGACTAACATCACTGGAGAACGTAAAAATGGGCATATTAGCATTCTGCAGGGATTCAAACTTTTGCTTGTCCCTCTTTAGCATGGCTCCATAACCCTCTTCCCCACTTGACCGCTAAGCCTCTGATTTCACACCCTGCCACTACAGGCTGCAAATGTTGAAAACATGCAGGAGAATGTTGTAGAGGGAGAGATGTGGAAATTGAAGGGGTTTTTTGCTGTTTACCTGTCTTATTGAGGGTCTTCTTCCACTGAGCTCTGTGGTACAGCTGTAGGTAGGTGCAGTTTATCCTCCTCTTTTGTGCATGTGGCACTGTGGACCGACTTCTGTACAGAGGGATTGGATGGTGAGAGAAACTTTGTTCCTCTGCAGCCTCCAAAGATGTTACTGGGACAACAGTGGTTTGATCGGACAATGCAACATTGGATGTCCTTGGTGGCCATCTTGAGTGAGGGCAATGCTAATAAATTGCAGTGTCCCCCAGCAGTTGGCACACAGTTGTGAAGTGGATACAGTAGGGACAGGATACATGCTGAGTAGGCACAGTCTATTTAGCTTAGGAAGAGGTTTCTGAAGGGGAGGGGCAAAATAGAGACACTGCTGCCAGAGCTGTTAACCCCAGGACACCTGTGGTGTGACGTAGACTGCATGGAGACAGCATATCAGTCTGGGGTGATGGATAATAACCTGGTGAAAGCATAGAGCAAGGCTTTGATTCATACTCAGAGTAAAGAAAATAAAGCCTCCTTTCTGGAGTGGATGGAAAGGTGTAATATTCTTTTTATACAGGTTAATGGTCAGAGGAAATATGGTGACCCTCCTGTGAACTGGGTTGCAGAAGCTCCTCCACTTGGGACAGAAATATTATCAACATTCTCCCTCAAGAAATCTATGAAGATAACTTAATTCCAATTTTTCAAACTGTTAGAATATGATATGAGTTTTGTCTCATAATGGACAGATTGCACAGGTGGGGACAAAGCATGTGTAATGTACTTTGTGTATTCAGGGGTGTGGGCTTGTTGCCGGGCTGTCTGGGATGGGCTTCTAGCTGGAGGTGCCTGGCCATGGATTAGCTTACTGTTAATTAGATCACTGATAGATGTTAGCTGCCAGCTGTACATCTGTACTGTTTGATTAGATCACTGTTAGATGTTAGCTATTCATTAGATGTACTGATGATATTACTGTTTACAGTTTGCATTCTTTAACATAATGTGATCAAGCTCCTAACTGATTCTGTGTAATATAAATTTTGTGTGAATTTTCAATAAAGTTGAGTTCCAGTTGCACCTAAGCTACTGTGGTCTAGTACTTGGGTGCAATGCTCAGCTATAATACCTTGTTCCTGTGTCCCAGTGGTGAGGAAGCAGTTCTCTGACAGAAGCACTCAAGAGGGGTGCCAAGTGGTCCATCATAGAATCCCCTCCCCTTTTTAGCAAAAGGCCTGCAATAGCCGTGATATCACTGATATGGCCATATTTGGGCTTGGGGACCTCACACTGTTTTTGCTTGAGGTACATCCCTAATATCCAAACCATGCTCAAAGGGTCTGGTATATATTTGAGGGAATGCACCTTTGCCTTTTAGTCCATAAAACAGGTATTTTAATTTTTATTTCAAAAGCGTACAGGTTCAGCATCTGAATTTCTAAAGTCTGCAAGTTCATGTAAACACTGATCATATGTTGCTCATCACTATTGATCATAGCTGATACCCTGCAGGAATTGGCTGCGATTACAACGGTGCTTTTGGCAGCAAATAGTAAGTTTTACTGGTTTTATATCTTTTATCTACACTAATAAATTGAGTTATGCTATTGGGATTTTCTTATATGATGGTGATTATCTGGTTGGAGTAAGGAGGAGAGGGTGGACCTGGAGTTTCATGATATAAAGTGTTGTTTGACCTGCTTATAATATAGCAGGGTCAATTAAAGCTGGTGAGTTTGTTTCCATATTAAGGCTGTTACTTTGGCAGTAATAGATACCTAAACAGCGCTTTGTATCATGAAACACAGATACATTTATACAAGGTGGGCTTCATACCTATGATTTGAGCTGGCATGTAGTAAAATGCACATTTCACCATGTTACACCAATTTCTGAAAATCCATAATCTGTGCTTGTTGGTTTACAGTTCCAGTCATTTCAAATGAGACTCCAATGCAAAAACTCACACCCTGTGTGTTTCTGAGCACCACAACTCTCAAATGCATAGTAGTGCATCGGCAGTCCATACAAAAAATAAAAACTGAAATAACTAAAATGACCATGCTATCTTAATGCAAAACATTAACCTGCGCTGAACAGGTGTAAAGGGGGTCTTAGTTTGTTTTCTAATAGTGTCTATGTATTCTTGAGGATGTATTTGTACTCCACATTTAGAGCTAAGCAGTATGACATAGTAGTTTTGCTTTATATAGCAGGCTTCATTGCTAGGCTACAACGTAGATGACTGTCCAACATATAATGTTGAATGATCCTGTCCTGATTGGGCTCCAGTCACTTTTGTTTACTGGAATGTTAAGTGAATATACAAAGCAAGATGTTTTCAGGAATCGTCATTTTGTATGACTATTATTTTATAATAATTATATATATGTAAAAGCTAAAATGCTTACCTTTTGCTGTAATTGCCTTCTCCAGTGCACTGGCATCTTCCATGGGATTAACCCTAGGTTTTGGCCAATCTGCTCCACCATGTACTTCATATGATTCCTAGGGATATTTTTATTAACATTATTTTACTGATGGACATTAAGGGTATTCAGATAGGTGATAGAGAACATAAGGTGGCTGCATTTGCGGATGATCTCTTGTTCTATATGGGGAATCCCAGGATAACACTCCCAAATTTAATGAAGAGCTTGAGGGAATATCGGGAACTATCAAACTTGAAAATCAATATAACTAAGACAGAGATTCTGAATATTAATCTCTCAAATAGTGAAAGAGAGAATTTACAAAGAGAATTTCCCTTTAAATGGAAGAAAAGAGAGTTAAAGTATTTAGGAATAAAACTTACGACCTCATATCAGAATTTATATAAATTAAATTATATTGCATTACTAAATGAGATAAGGCTAGAATTAAGGAAAATGGGAGGAGGAATCCCGACTTGGTTAGGATGCATAAACTTGATAAAAATGATAATTATACCTAAAATCCTATACAAATTTCAAAGGGTCCCCATCAAACTCCCTGAGGTTTATGTTAAGATAATAAAAAAATGATAACAAGATATATATGGAGGAACAAAAAAAAACCTAGAATATCTTATGAAGTTTTAAGTAGAACTAAAGAACGGGGGGGGATTGGGAGTGCCAGATTTTAAAAGATACTATAAAGCAGTAATTCTGTCAAGAATATTTGATTGGACACGCAACCCAGGTGGGAAAAGTTGGGTCAAAATTGAAAATACACTGAGTGGAAGGATTTTGAGGGAAGTTGTATGGGTTCCAGCACAATGTAGAGAATTAGATGATAACACTAGTTTGTACACTTTGAATGTTTTGAGAGTTTGGGATGTAATTCACAAACAAGTGGGATGGGAGTTTAACTCACAATTAATGCCATTGAGGAACACAAACTTTTTTCCCCCAGGGCGGGAGAAGATTGGGGGAAAATGGATTAAAAAGGAAAATGCCCAGTTGAGAGACATAATGGTGGAGGGGGAATTGAAATCACTTAAGGATTTGGAAAAGGAGGGTGGAGAAGTTTTCACTAAGATAGATGAATGGACATATCACCAATTGAAAGATTTTGGGAAAAGGAGATTAGAAATGAATAAAAGTTATTTGTTGGTTTTATGTGATTATAAGTGCAATATGTATTTATTTGAAAAATTTAATAAATATCTAAAAAAAAAAAAACAAAAAACATTATTTTACTGCGTATTCATTGTTTTAAAAATTACTTAATGGGTACTCGGTAGGCTTTTTCATTTTCTTTTTACCACAAAATCACATCAAAGTAAGTTAATGTTTTAAAAACCTTGTGCATAGCTATAGTTTACAATTGTAAATTTTCATAAGGGCAGCCGTATTTACTAATAAGCATACACAGAACACAGAAGCAAACCGTCCTAAAAACAATGGCAGAAACGTAAATGGGTTGACTTATTTTAAGTGATTCTAAAGGCTTATTTTTTTAAAAAAAAAATAACAAACATGTACATATACTTACCTACTGTGTGTAGTGGTTTTGCACAGAGCAGCCTGGATCCCTCCTCTTCTCGGGTTCCCTGCAGGCTCTCCTGGACCCTCCTCCTGTTGGGTGCCCCCACAGCAAGCAGCTTACTATGGGGGCACCCGCTGGACGGAGTGTCCATTAACACATGGAGCCGCAGCTCAGCCCCCACCCCCTCTGTCTTCTCATTGGCTCACTGTCTGTGACTGACAGCAGTGGGAGCCAAAGGCTCTCGCTTCTGTCTCAGCCAATGAGAATAGGGAGTCCCGAGATAGCCAAGTCTCCAGTGCACATCGTTTGATTGAGAGGGGGCTTAGTTGAGTATGGGGGGGGGGGCTGAGGGTGATGCTGCACACAGAAGGTTTTTTTTACATTCATGCATAGAATGCATAAAGGTAAAAAAACCTTGAGCCTCTAGAACCACTTTAGGACAAATAGACTGTGTAGTATGCAAGTACAGTTATGATCATTTTCCCCAGAGTTAGTGAATGTGGTGAAGCTTCAAGCAGAACTATTTTTTCATTTTGGATACGGAGGGTTACAACTTATTTGTTCTTTTTCGCCATCTATGTCGCATTGGAGACAATAGCCAAAACAGGAAAGTGAGAGAAAATCCCTGCAAATTAAGGGAATCCCTTGGGGCTCCCTAGGTCACTGGAACTAGTCTCCCCAAGATTTCCCATCCATTATGATCGACTGGGGACAGCACAAAATTTGGATTTTTTTTTACTTTCCAATTCAATGATTATAGTAAACAGGACATAAAAAGAGCAGGTGAATCTCCCTAGTGGGAGCACAGACAGCTATAATAACCTAGCAGGTGTTCTAATCCATCTCCACTTCATTCAAAATTACAAAAAAGTTTTGCTTTTAGTTATATTTTCACTTTGTACAAAATACCCAATCAGGTGCAAGGAAAATAAAAAAAAAACAGCACTTTGGCTTGCACATGATTGGATGATGGAAATCAGAAGAGCTTCACTGCAATCACTAAGCACTGGGGAAAATGGGCGCAACTGCACTTGCAAAGTGCACAGGTTGCAAAGCAACCTCAAAGCGTATCTAACCCCCCCCTTCCCAAAAAAAAATGTAATATATTGCAGCTTTATATGTTGAAACTGTGTTAGTCTTCATTTTAGCTTTTATATCCTTTATTTTCCCTCCTACCAGAAACATACATACGATCACGCACTGCATGGTATTTTTCAAGAAGCACTGTGGTTACCCTAGAACAGGAATTGTGTTGGAACTAAAGAACATAAAGTTCATAATATGAGAAGGGGGTGGGATGCAGTATTGTCAGTTCACTACAGGAATTTAAGAGCTCACTGTATTTCTGGCAAGTCGACAAGTATTTCTCAATCATACATCGAGGAACACAGGAATTCAGAAACAGTAAGGTTATATTACTGCTTACAGGAGGTTGAGACACTGGCAAACAGAAAAAGTTATAAGCTAGCCATGTATCTGATTTCTGCTCTATTAAGAGTTTATCCTTGGCAGTGGTATCTCATTCAGACTTTTGCTTCTCCCTGCAGGGAAGTTCTTAGCCCTTCACAGGTAGTTTCACCCTTTGTGCTATTGGATACCTCCCTATCCTATCCCTCTTCAACAGAGACTAGTTCCTACTGTTTCTCTTCTCTATTAGGAACCTGACCCATCAGTGTCCAACAGCAGCACTGGGCTCTGCTCACAGCTTATATCCACCCTAGTGCGTATTCTTGGCATCTCCATTATGGAATGCTCAGGGATCCTCCCTGAAGAGGGCCAGTTTTCTGGACCCTTGCAATCCATGCCCTTCTGTGCATCTCATTATCTGCAGACTGTGTCTGGATACAGACTCTGAGCAGAATTCTTCAGATCGTGCCTTTGCAAAGCATATCCACTTGGTCCCTACCTTATCTGATCACAGAAATTCTCACATTTTCCCTTTGTAGGTTTGCTGTTCCTCTGATATGGTTTCTTCATCTTGTGCAGACTCTCCTCCAATGCTGTCATCCAGTAGTCTACTTGGATATATACATACTGAGTGCAATCAACTGGTCTCTGGCGGAGGATAAGGTGGTTATTACCCCCCCTACCAGCCTGGAAGGGCTTCTCTCGGGGGTGTATCCTAATGCTTGGGGCACTTGTCTGGTTCCCCAGAACAGACAGTTTCATTGGCACTCTTTCTGAAGGTTAGTATTCTGTCCTCTTCTCTGTTGGACATCACTTAAATGAACTTTCATCTCAAGATTTAGGAACTCTTCCTGCAGAAGGTTGAGTGACCAGATTCCTATGCTGGAGATAATAAGTGTGTGCCTCGCCTTTTTCCTGGGAAGGAGCTGTCTACCCCCGAAAGGTCCTGTACTCTCCTGAACAGTCAGGAGGCAGAACACTCTGGGACCCTGCTGCAGATCCTCCCTATGGGGGATAGTGTTATTCCAGAGGCTTTTGTAGTACCTGATCACCACGGGAAAGATCCTTCTTCTACAGCTGAATGTCAGCCTTCTGAAGGTTGGTTGAAGAGTCCAGATCATTCTGATTCTGGTGTTCCTGAGCAACAGTTCTTGTGTTCTTGAGTGACAGTTCTTGAGCAACAGTCATGTCTAGTTTGTGCAGATGCACCAGCTCACCCTACCCCCCCCCCCCCCCCTTGTTGAGGTGAACATCAGGATTAGTATTCTTGTTTTTTTTTCTATAAGTCATGGGGTCCTCTGTTTATTCTTTGGGATGTGATGCTGTGGTATATTTAACAGACCAAAATGGTGTAAATAGGTGATTATTCTTTGGGTTTACATACACCTTAACAGTACAAAATCCACACTTTTCTGAAAGCTAACTATGAGCTTTCAACCACAGCAGCCTGTCACCCATAGATTCACCATAAAAGTTTCCAAATGTGGTGTAAATCAATGAAAAAATTTACAACATAAACCAAAGGGCATTTTAAATTTATCTCAATGTCATTCCAATACTTTGCTCCAAAATTGTGATTGTAGCAACTTGATGAAAATCTTCAAAATTTGACAATTAAATTGCCAAGTATATGGTCAACATACAGTAAGTGCTAGCATTGTACTGAGTTGTAAATGAGCTATTTTCTTGATCACAAACAGCCCTTACTACTTCCATGTATCTGGTTTATGTTTACAGACCTTTTCAGTGTATATCAGTGAATAATACAGTTTACTTACAGTGCATGTCTCTTTCATTTGATGGCTGGCCTGCAGCATTTGTTGAACTACAGAGCAAGTTGCTTGTTGCTCCATTTTCTGAAACAGAAATTTAAAATACAGTAAGTTTATAATACATGAACAATAAAAGCAATCCAGTGATCGATGATCCAGAGAGAAGAGAATAAATCAGGAAGTATGCCATTTTCAAGCACACAAGGTGTTGCATACAGAGCTATGGGACAATGTAACCATTATATAATCTACAGCGTTTATGAAGGAATAAAATATGTTGGCTAAAGGGTATCATTTAAAGCAGGTTTCCAAGACATATGTACACTACGAAAGCTAACATTTACTGAGATCCCTCTAATG